TATTTCACAAAATGCACAGGGATTGGCTGGTGTCAGAGGGTATATTTCACAAAATGCACAGGGATTGGCTGGTGTCAGAGGGTATATTTCACAAAATGCAATAATGGGATAATGCAAATGGGATAATTCACTTGTGCCCCTTACCTCATGGGAGAATTCAGAACAATAAAAATCACCTGTTTTTGGTCAACATTTCATATTTGTCTTTGTCATCCAAGCATGAGTGATCTGATTGGTGAGATGTTGATGGATCTACAACCTCATCTACAGCAACTCCTGTCAAGAACGTGGTGAGTTTAGTCGTCAAGCCTCTCCATGAGTACCTCAGCGCTTAGGCTACATCTGAAGCCATTAGTCTAGAGCTAGGTCTAGGTCCTCACCCATTGGAAAACACACTGGGCATGCTGACAGCAGACATAGCCACAATTCCCGAAGGATGTTTCCGACACAGCTGTAGAAATCTCTAAAGATCCAGCTATTTTATTCTCTGTGTGCTTGAGGGAGTGATAGAGGGCGCTGTTTAGCCTATCAATGGTTGCATTTCATTCCTGTGACTTGGGTTGAATGTAGCACTTGCACCTCTGACAGTAGCTGACTAACCCTGTCGTTATCGTAGGCTTCAGATTCAAACGTCTCCAGCCATTGACACCGTGTGTGTGACCATTGAGGACTACTATCGAGACTTTGTTCACCTCAAGAAAAACTTCTTTGAGCCACTCGTGAGACAGCTGGAAACAACTCTGGTGACAGAATACATCAAGGCGCTTGTAGAAAAGTAAGACCATCTATCAGGTTTTCAACAAAATCTTTAATTCCATTCATGATCAATGAAATAGTCCATCAGTCACACTGTGTAATTGCCAATGATACACTGGCATGGTTATCATCCTGCTGAGGATGTTTGCGAAGTACCAAGCACAAGTAGAAACACACAAAGCCTTTAAATAATTATTAACAGAATCTTTCTGGCCAGTTCTTCTGAACAGCAGTAATTTCATTTCCCTTTGTCAGTTTGCAAAGTCTCAGTCCATTGCCTAAGATCTAGATGGAAGACAGTAGACTTGGAATCCATTAAAGTTTAAATTCCAGGCTTCACATTTCCATTGTTTCAGCCTGATCCAATCCTGTCATTAGTGGAATAATTCTTTCATGTTTTCATCTTTCAATTTATCCACTGATGAAGTAATCAACCATTCAACCAATCAGTCAATCCATTGATGAAGTAATCAACCATTGGTTGAATCAGTCAATCCATTGATGAAGTAATCCACTGTTCAACCAATCAGTCAACCTACTGATGAAATAATCCACTATTCAACCAATCAGTCATTCCATTGATGAAGTAATCCACTATTCAACCAATCAGTCAGCTCATGAGCAAAGTAATGATAAGGTACTAATAGACCAATTTTCATTTCAACCAGGCGAATGACGTTCAGGAGCTACGAAGAGCGAAGGACAGCAGCTGACAAAATGTTCAAGGAATCTGAACAAATCGAGGCTCTCTTTGAACGCATCCTGAAAAGAGAGGTATTCAGTTTTGCCCCAAAATGGCTTTGGACAGAAATGTTCTGCATGCTCCTTAGATATCTGTCGATTTACAATGGAATTAGTCCACTTTGTTGTGTAAGGACCAGCTTACTGTCTGACACTTCATTTCTCTGAGAAAAACCATCCAAAGACTAACTTCTGATTAATACTAGTTGAACCGAGCGATTGATTATAGTTTGGTTTGAACCCCTTCCACTCATCAAACTTAGTACATATACTGATGTTTTAACTATTAATCAATTAATCCTATCTTGCAGGTGTCCCCAAATCTTTGTTCACAAGGCACAATTTACAACATACACACTGACAAATGTAAAGGGTCAAAGTGTAGTGGTGGAAACCAGTACAGTGTTTTAGGCATTGGAAGTTCAAACTTCCAACAAAATACTTAAGAACCAACATGATGTTCCACCTTTGCTACATTTCAAAAGATTGTCAAAATAACCCAGTAGGTAATTCATGAGAGTTGGTGGATTAAGCAGGTTACTTTCCGCAGTTATAGTAACATTATAGTGTTCACTACGTCATTGTCTCATCCAATAGGACAAGTCTCCATGTGAAGTTATTCCAATGCTGGCCGAAGTCATCAAACTGATGGACACGTCCCTGCTGTCCCTAGAGATCTCGGGACTGGTCAACAAGTATGCAGACATTCGCACTGACCACCTGGTCAACTTGCTTGTCATGAGAGGAGATATGTCCATCTCCAGTGCACGACAGGTAAGGAGTCAGGTTACCATCTTATATTACCGGTACCCGTCATTCTTAGCCAACCAGAGGCAGATTTGTATTCTGTTCCAAAACCACATACACAATGGACTATTAAATGCCTGACTTGAATGGCAAAAAAAAACCATTGCTGACCGTTCATATTCGGTCACTGTGTCTGCTGTTTCGATTTAGTACATTTGTATTTTTTTCACTTTTCTGCAGGTTATAGAAGACGTTTTGGGAGAAGATAGTGCAAGAAAGAAGACACCCAAAACAATCTTTTCACTTGTAAAATAAATAAAAGTATTGTAGTATTATTTAGGTTCTTACAGTTCATTGATGTGATGCCATTTATTATTTAATTTGGAGAGACATGTTATAAAATGATATGTTTAATGACACTGAGATCGTAACGCTTCATTGGTTGAAAACTGGTCATGTGATATATTTAAGAAATTCATCTCTAATCGCTGGTTGGATTACCCCAGATACATTTCTATAATCATCTTCAAGATTTGGGATTATTACAGTCTTGTGAACGGGTTACATGTACTTACAATTGGTGCCAGCTCCAACATTGGTACAAGACAGAAACTAGGTTGAATTTTTTCAGTCTACAAGATTTTTTTGCATTAACGCAAAACCGAGAAGACTTAACAACTAGATGTTATTACTGGCATATTGCACGTAAATGAATTAAGTTTAGTGACCAAACTACATGTATTTGGAATTGAAGATAATGCTGTAAATTATGTTAAAGGAAAAGAAAAATGGCTTGAAAACATGTGTAATATAGATTGCATGTACCATTCGTAGGCGTATGAAATGTAAAGATAACCCATGATTTTTGGAGGAATTTGTTGGTAATATACCAATTAAGGATCAACCCCTTAAGTGCAATACGTATACATTGCTTTATATTCGGTTTGCTTTGGGTGTTTTTTTTTGGGGGGTAAGTAAAACTGGCCCGCATTTTGGGGTGTGGCTAATATTTGTCAAAATGTCTGATCTCATTTTGTGGCATTGTTGCGTAACTTTCGTAAAACCAAATCATTTTTTAATACACGTGTTAAAAAGTTGTCGCATAGTATCACATGAATGTAGTGACAGTAGTTGGAAAGTCATGTTTTGCTCGAGAAATTCTCTTGTATGCCATCGATAACGTGGATTCACACGTGAAATGTGATGAGAAGTGTTTCGTCTGTCTCACGTTTGAGTTCATCTTGAGCATACTGCTAGATTATTTTCACAATTTTAGTAATTTTCTTTTCTCTCTACTGTCATGTCTTTCCTCTCTTTTGTGTGGCCACGTGATCAGCAGATAGCTCTTTTAAAATTATTGCCTGTCTGAAATTACAGTGACAGTTAACTGGGGATGAAGTGTCAAGCTTGCGACTCGAAGCTTTTGCGCGGAATTGTTCCCCCACGCCCGCTTCGAATTTTGAAAACACAGGAAGAGCTTTTGTATTGTTGAAAATCATGACCAAATCTAATCTTAGTGGCCTTTAAAATAGACCTCTCGCAAATTCAACCCTAGGCACGCCACATTAGATCAATGAAGTAGTTGGCACATTGTAAGATGCCCTGTATGGAGTTGAAATATTAAACGCGAAGCTTTAGAAACTAACAGCCTCCAACACTCAACACGCACTTTTTAAAGAAAATAAAAGGATGGTATGTTTGTTGTGTAAACATTGAAAGTTTGAATCTTGAGAATTGTAGAGAAAGAAGTAGACTTTACGTTAACAAGGAAAAGGGGAATACAGTGACACCGAAAAAAATGCGGAGAGGGGTCGGTATGAAGTTGCGCGATCCATTCGACGGAATACAGTGCATTGAAGGTATACCTTATGGTGTCATTGTCATCCGAAGATAGGATTTCATGACTTGAATGGTTTTCAATCAACCCTTCAAGAAACTGATATTAAGTTCTCGTTGAAATGTCTCTATATACCACAGACGTTGCATTATTAAGAAATCGCCTTGGATATAATAGGTTGATACGGATGGCGGCAGGAAACTTGTCCCATAGCGCGCAGACTTGGAGGGAAAACGATCTTGGAGACGGTAAACCAATCATCAGCTCTGTTGGTAACACGATCACAGCGTCTTTCTTTCGTCATCTTCCCGCCTTTTCTTGCAAGCCATCGTTAGGTTGGAGGAAATTGGATGAGAATAGCATGGGGTTGAAGTGAGGGTGTTATGACTAGGATGTTTTATGTGGTAACAAGAGGCGAAATTTTTACGTGCTCTCCGCAAATTGCAACAGAGTTGGCTCGCGCTGGTGACGTCATCGGCTGTTGTGATTGTTCTGTGAATAATGTTAATTTTCTATGGAAGTGACACTGGATCATAATGATGTGCATGCCTTCTTATCCACACCAGTCTAATATCCATACTGTAAAAGAAATAAGTAGGCCTATGTCCAGATCCTTGTGCAACGAAGGGGCTTCAGTAAAATCTCATTGGACAAGTGAAATCTGTGCCCAGACTTCCGTACTAACGCAGTGCGCATCATCGGACTCGGACGTAAACCAGCATCTGGCGAGCTTTGTCTCTTTCTAGAGCAGGTCATTGACATGTAAATAGTTTCCGAAACCACCTGTATTACAAGAGGAACCAACTGTTTTTTCTGCTTTAGCTTTGCGGCAAAACACCCACAATGCACGCATAGGTTGTTTTAACGCATTTGTTACCAACTTCTGTTTTGAAATTTCTCAGCAATTTTCAGGAAGATCTGTCGTCTCCTACCGTGGGAAGCTGTGATAAATATGTTTATTTGTATAACTTGACAACAGAAGGAAGCAAGCACACTGGTTTCAAACTGAACACTATTAAGTGAAGGTTCCTCACATGGAATGAAAGTAGGCTAGAGTAGTTTGATCCACAACTGACAAAATGTAAACGTACATGTACATAGTCGAGACGAGAGCGGGCGTCCACGTTTGCGTTGGGAATGCTGTGTCCTTTTGAGAAGGTGGGCCTTTTTCGTGTGTAAAGCGATTCGATGGTGGGCTTGTGTCGATTATGACGGGTTGACACTTCAAAGATTACGGCAAAATATTGTAGAGCTTGGGTAACTTTATATCTTTGCATCCCCTCCCGATTCCCCATGATAACGCCTGAGGGTAATTTTTATCAAACATAGCCGTTCAGGCAGGCCTTTTCCGAATAGAAATGAAAAACAAAGCTTTTTTTCCCACCCGGAGAAACCTTTTGGGTCGATGTAAATTTCCCCAGTTTACGGTTTGTTATCATAATGAATTATTTTATTTAGCATCAGGAACTAGTTGCACAGCCACTGCACTAGTTGGTTCCACATCCGGGTACTCCAAATTACGGTGGCCGGCGGTTGGTTTCCTGTTAATCCATTTATTAATAAGCCTTTTATCTTTTAGACAGGGCTGGTTGACGACGTGGCCGTAGTGTACACTTTGAACGTACTGGGTACCAGCGCACACGATCTAACTGGCTTTTTGACCCTTTAGGTCATCACCGTACGGTCTTTACACGATCTTCGTGTGCAATTATATGGGTACCAGTCTTTTATACCATGGATAACTGTTGGTTGCGTGGCAACTGATGGAAGAGATGCTTTGGACGAAAAAAAATTAACATGTACTAGAAAATGATTGTTCCATCGTTGAATTCAGACAATAACAAGATTCATAAAAGATTTTGTTCAATCTGTATTTCAGTCACTACCTTGTCGAGCTCCTGTCACCGATTGGTTTATTCTGTTGTGTGACAAGCAGTTTGATGAAGATTAAAACAAAATCTTGGTCACAATCTGTCAAAATGCCCGGTCAGTTTTTCCGCTAAACAAATGATACTTAAAGCAGTTTTCTGCACCTTTCCTCTGAATTCACTCGAAGAACGCTGACACCGAAACGGTTTCCTGCCACCAGAAACGAAAACAACGTGCGATATTCGAACGAATTCATTTTTCTGTCACAGTCCGGAAAGCTGGTGTCTGTAATGAATTTCCCGGCTTCGTCAGGATTTCTGACCAAGTACATGCTGACATCTTCATTTGCGAATTCCAAATCGAATGCAGCCCATTTGGTTACTCCGAGTTTACGTATCCAAAATCGATATCGGTTGTTTCAATTCGATTATATCCAGCCAGTTACACTGCAGGAATTTAATAGAAGTTACCGGCTCGTTACTTTGCCTGCTCTACTGCTGGGCCGATCCCCCATCGCCTGTTGGTCTTGATCTTTGAAATTTACCTGTTTTCATGTGTTTTAGTCTGGAATCTTTTTCCTCGCGCCGCTATCCTCCAGTGCACGTTTGTAATAATTATTTCGTGCACTAAGTCGTGCGTGATATGGTCGGCGTGTCCATATTTATAATCCAAATTTCATAAAGGCCGAGGCCTACTTTTATAATATAGTTTGTGACCGGAAAATTACCGACGCATGTTACGCGTACGCTGAACAACCTTTATTGGTTTACATGGTCATTTACATTAATAGACATCGAAATGTGTCACTTTTTGGCAAGTGTCAAAATCCAGAGTGTGTGTGCGGACTCAAAAAGCGAGTCACTCATCGATTGCAGATCTCATCGGAGCGAGGTAATTTAGTGTGCCTGCCTGTCACGTGGCCACGGATGGCCGAATATGGTCTATTCACTTTCGATACCCAACATTAACACGGCTTTCATGATGACAGCTCATTTTCCCCATTAACTTCGGTAACTCGGGTATACACGAAGCCCAGCTCCGAAACGACCAAAGAATCAATCATTTGTGTGGACATCGAGTCCCAAAAGGCCCCCTGGCCTCAGCATTTGGCAAGGGGACGATCGGCCTCGCCGACGCGGCAGGTCATGCTATCCTTCGGCAAAGGACAGACGGCGTGATAAGAACACCTGGGGCATTCGAGATACATCATCCAGAGACTAAATTGCAAATTCAGTTACCATTCTAAATTAGCTTCCCTTTGAACAAGGAGGTTAAATTTATTATGTCTCTTTATTTGGTCATGCAGTGTGCTGACTACTCTGCGATTCCTCGAAACAAAAATTGATTGCAAATTTTCTTTGAAAGTGCAAGAGCTGAAATGGTGGAAATAATGACTGCAAACTGACCGTCAAATCACATTTTTTTTCTTGTGGGTATTTCCCCGCTAATTACCATCACCAGGGTCATCGTTTGAACATGAAAGTGATGAAAATTGTCTGGTCTGGGTCGGGAGCTTGTGCGTTTTTGTATGATGTTTGTTGGGGCAGAGTGTAATGTGTGCGTGACGAGCGGACGTGTCGCAGTCAGACGATCGACCGCCAGGTTTTTTCGCTTTGCATTGTGGGTAACTAAGAAGAAAGAGGGCCGTGTGTTGTGCGCCATTGCTCTTTCCGTGGAACGGTGCGCGAAAACCGGCAAGTGTCGAATCGTCGCCGATTCTGCCCAATTTTTTTCACCTTCGTGAAATTTAGCCCCTGTCTTGTGGCCGAAGAGTCTTCTAGCTACCCTTGGAAGCATTGTGTTTCGTTTTATTCAGTCTGCAGGTGGGTAAAATAGGGAATTCCGGACTTGTTTTCGGGTCGGTTGAGACAGGAGCCGGCCGAATGCCGACCGACGCGCTGCGTCACGAGTCGTGCATTTTGTGGGGGGCTCGGGACGAGTGCCTACATTCTTTGGAAACTTTAGCCCCTCAAATGGTCCAAAAAGGCCCTTATCCCAAACGTAGGTTAGTCCAGATATCCTGAATTGTGTCGTGGTGAATGGCTTGGTAATGAGGAAGGACCATTTTTGGCTGTATTTTTGAAGCTTGAAACCGGGAAGTTTTCAGCAAGAATTCGGTTGCCGGCCGGGTGGTTGGCGAGACACCCTCGGGCGCAGTGCTTGCCCACCACATGACACAGAGTCTGTTTGACGCGACATTCACGTACATTATAAACTCTTTTGACATGGTTACCATGTCTCGTTTCACTGCATTTCCGCGACTGTCTTTGTGCATGTAACTGAATAATTGATTTGCTGCTGACTGTTCCTTCAATTCTCATAAATTTTTGGCTGTCTGACTGACCATGTTGACAGGAGTTTGAAGTGGCATTAACCATGTTAATACTAGTGTTTGGCCTTGGCCCTATGTGACGACGACAGATGTACATGTGAACTGTAACTTGCCAAACATTGTTTATGCAATGTTGAGACATATTTCGGCTGATACATTTGCCTGGCAATTAATCATTCTTTAGGTTTTTAACTGCACATTTCTTACTTGTGTATGCCCTTAAAAACTGTTCTTGTTTCATTTCTGGTCGTGGTGGTAAAAATATGTTTCGATGAGATGTACTCCCGCCATCAAAAATGGTAGTGTGAAAGTTTATTGAGAGTCCATACTTCACTTTTTGTGGATAAAATTATATTTTATCATGCCAACTTTTTTGTTTATCATGCTTGCTCGTATCCAGTTTTGAGTAGTTTATCACACCCACCAAGTGTAGCTGATGTTAGAATTAATCATGCATTTAATGTATCCCCAAACTTGCTAAATTTTTATTTGCAATTTTTTTTTGATTAAGCAACAAAATTGTAAATATACCAATAATAACAAGTAACAAGAACACTGGTGTGGTGTACAACTAAAACCATAATGCAACATGTTTGTAACTTTTCTTGACATTTTGCATTAATGCGTAGAAGTTTTCACTTCCTTGATTCAGCAATTTAATATTTCAGATGCAATACATTGGCTCTATGTACAAATGTATAGGTACACATGCTTGAAGCAGTGTTATGGTCCACATTAGTTGTACCATTTGTATTCTAAATTAATGCAGTCAGTTGAGTGATAGCTAGATTCTGTTCCAATTTTTAGCACCAGTTGCTGATTTCAATCGTACTCTTTATCATGTACAGTCGAACCTCGTTAATAAGAGTACATGTACTGTTAATACAAGATTCTGCTTTCAACGAGGACATTTTTAGTCCCTATCCTTTGTTTTCAGTGTTTTTATTCCTGATAATACAAGGTTCCTGTTATAACAAGGTAATTTGTCAAGTCCGAAGGACCTTTTATTGACCAGGTTCGACTGTACATGGTAAAGAGTCAATGGACCGGTCAATTAACCCCTGTCCTATGTTGCTCTGACCAGTGACATAATTTCTGTCTGACATGCTTGGCTCAATATTGGCATTGGTGGAGGGCACATGTTAACTGCATAGAGGACAGGGTTCAGTCTATTTTCCTGTAGCATAGACTCATCAAGAACTGCAAACAGTACTGTGTGGCTAAGGCTTCATGTATGCCCAGTTTACGTGACTGTGGCTTTAAAACAACATGTTCCTGTGGAAACTGCTCGCCACGCTTTGTTGCTTCATCCATTTTTCAAAGACCTGTGTTTCAGACCTGGACCAACTCAGATATGTAAGAATAGCACAGAATTGGGGTGGCCAGTTTTCAGTTAAATGTGCACAAAAGTGCGGAATAAATGTCATGTAGTAGTTTGACCCTAGTGGTCATGTTATAAACTTTGCTACGAGTAATATGCCATGATTTTCAAGTTAACTTGTAGCGTCTTCACATCATAAAAACCTGCATAAGCATATTGTGTAAAAAGTACATACACATGTGAGCAGGTTCGGGCACATATCATATGGCATAAATTGTATGTCCAATATTCAGTTTATTTGTGGTCTTGCTATTCTTTTACCAATGAGGGGATTGTTTTGCACAAAGCTCACACGGAAAGAGAATTTGAATGTAAGATATGAAAATGATGTCAGCTGATAAGGGTTGATTGGAAATTTCCATAAATGAAGTTCTTGCTTGTTGCGTGAAGATGATGTTTGACTCCAGAAGCACACAATAATTTGTCTTTAATTTGCTTTTGTACAGATTGGCCGACACCCCTGCCTGTGCCCATAACATCACCATGACAGACATGGGTGTCCTTGACACCCAAGCTGACATTGCTAAGGGTCAGGAGGGACCAGCTGCCCAGGCCAAACAGCCGGATGTCACAATCCTTCATCCACCTATGAATCCAGCTCGTCATGGCATCCAACAGATTGTTGACTGCTTCCGTTTTGGCACACCCTTTGTGAAACAGCTGATCCTGCAAGAGGCAGATGTGATCTACGAGTGTCGAGTCTGCCGCAGCCTTTTCCGTGGCCTGCTTAACTTCATCGAGCACAAGAAGTGCTTCTGTGTGGAACGAGTCAGCTCAGACAGTCAACTGGCAGGGAGACGGCAGAACACTGATGCAAGAGAGCATGGGATATCCAATGATGAAGCAGCTAGCATCTTATCTTGGGGTGGACCTGGACCAGAAAAGGAGATACGGAAAAATGCAGAAACTGCATCAGTTACAGAAGGCAAAGCTTCCAATCAGTCAAGTACAGAATTGAAGGACATATATGATGGAGAGGAAAATGACAGATTCGTTGTGCTGCGTCCAATTCCAACCACATCAAGAGCTATTGAGCAGCAGATTGTCAGGTCTGATCAGATCCTGCATGAAGAGGAAATCAATAAATTAAGTGCTTTCAGGGCTCTGAGAGATCAAGGGGATCAAAGTGAAGACACTTCCAAGATTGTAGGTGAGATAACTATTCGCCAAGCTGCCAAAGCTGGAAGAGTTGCTGTACCAACTTTTGTGGATAAAAGAGAAACCCTCCACACCTTACTCAAGACAGTGAACTCCCAGTTTTATGCAGAGAAAAGTACATCCCCATCATCAGATGCCACCAGCAAGAGAGAGACCTTGACAGTGGATGTAAGCACTCCGAAATCTGCCGTGAGTCCAGCTGCCTCAAGAACGAGTGTTTCTCCACGTGTGCCCGTGCCAGACAAGAAAGCCAGTAGCGTCTCTCCAAGACAGAAGAAGGTTGCCACTACCCCTCGCCCGACTACACAGCAGATGTCTGCAAGAAACATATGCAAAGTCTGCAAGAAAAAGTGCAAGAACTGGACAGCCCTAGCTTGGCACATGAGGATCCACAAGAAGCCCTTGTTCAAGTGTCCTCTGTGCCAGTATCGCAGTCCTTCTGTTTATAACGTTCGCCGCCACATACAGGCTATGCACAACTTGTCAACTGATCGTGTGGATGAGCTCTTGAGTCGCAAGATTGAGGAGAAAGGAACTGAAGTGAGTACCGAAAGCAAGAGTGGCCAAAATAATAATGACAGCTCTTCTCCGCCAGCCTGTGACATATGCTTCAAGACATTTGCTAACCGCCGGAATGTGGCCCGTCACAAGGTGATCCACGAACGAGAAAAATTGCAGGCTGAGGGGAAGTACACACCTGCATCTAATGCCACCCAGGAGGAAATTGCCAGAGGGAAGGTGATGCAGACCATGGATGAGAAGAACATGCGTTGTCGCCGTTGTCATAAGCAACTGTCAACTGTCCGTCGCTTGCAGCAACACTGCTGTAATCACTTTGGCTACAATCGCTATCGTTGCCGCATGTGTCCTTATGAGAATAATGACTATACGCAAATGCGGCGTCATATGATGGGGAAACATGGCCGACAGTTCCGCACCATCCAGCAAATTTCAGAGGCTATCAAGTCAATGAAGGTTGGTGTATGGATCAATCTGACTCAGAGTCAAAATACAGATGACAATGACTCCAAAAAGGCAGGTATCTCAGCAAACAAATCGTCGAAAGCAGAGGAGAAGAATCCCAAACAAGGAGCTTCAGTGAGCAAAGCTGGAAGCTCTACCACCAAACAGGGCTCTACAGCCACAAAACAAATTGGATCAGCCACCAAATCCATGAGCACAACAGCAGACAAAGTTGGTACCAAAGGGGTAGAAGATGGAAAGAGTAGTGTATCCTCATCCCCAGTGAGAGTTAAAGCAGAGTCTGAATCCAAGAAGGTCACAGACAGTCCCTCCAAGGATGTACCTTCTTCGTCAGCAAACTCACCCGGAACCTCCAGGAGGTCCCTGGTGGACACTGTTGCTGCAGGGAAGGAGAGAGAGACACCAATGCGTCAGGCCAGACTGAACCATCGCAGCGTTTCTCCCAAGGGTCCCCAAGAGAAAGAAGAGGAGGAAGACAAGGCACTGTTGCAGATGATGATGGACAAGAAGAACATGAAGTGTCTCAAGTGCAAGAAGCGCTTCCAGTACCACAGCTCCTTGCTGCGACACACCCGCATCCACCTCCTTGAGGAATCTTCATCATCTGAGCAAGGAGGAACCAAGAAGAACCGGGAGTCTGCCTCCAAGAAAGCCCAGGCCATCAAGTCTTTGATCAACCCAAGTCAGCTGCGTTGCCTAAGGTGTCGGAAGCGCTTCACTAGCATGAGCACCCTCAAGCAGCATGTTGGGCGCCATCTTGGGTACAATACTTTCAAGTGTCGATATTGCGGGTATCTGTCTCATAATTACTCCTGGTTTAAGAACCACCTCATGATCAAGCATGCTAGTCATGTTGCAAACATCACTGACCTAGGTCAACTCATAGGCAGCATGAAGACTAAATGAACTTCCACGTTTTGGGGAAAATTAATATTCTGCTCCAACAGCACTTGGATGTAACTTCCCCTGTTTGGGTTTTAATTGGATGGAAAACCCAATAATGAATCTCATTGGTATACATATACAAGGGTAATGTGTACAGAACACGACTTGTTTCTGTCTTAAGTTATGTTCATGTAAATACAAAGAATTCTTTTCTAGTTTACTACGGTTACATACATGTACATGTATGTTCCCTGGTTTAAAACCCATTATGACCATTTAAATGCTCTCACTACCCCAATGCCTTCTGTATGAATGTATCAACAGACAGGTTTAAAACGATTCTGTTACAGATGTTTAAACCAAACATGTGCATGTGCACATTGAACATTTAAGGTGTTAGCTGGTTCGTGTATCATTTTATAACCTAGATTTTATAAAATCCCGTTTTTGTGTTTGATGAACAATGAATATACTCTTGTGTTGCATGTGTGTTTTCTATTTATGTTTTCAAATCTATCTTACTACATGTTAAACACAGCTAAGTTGTAGGCCAGTATTTAGTGGCCATTAGAAATATCAGAATGGAGTGTTGATGGTGGTATGAACACTCTTGTCTACTGATTTCAGTTGTCACATGGAATGTGAAGTGTTTTTTAAGTGTCTGTTTCAGGGAAGGTAATGCTGTGAATAATGCTTTTCTTGTCCAGTTGAGAATGACCTGTAAAATGTGAGTAATCCTTAGTGAGCGTTATCACTCTGTCAAGAATTTGGCAACTGGGCAGTGTCCAGGACTTACTTGACCTTTGTTCAGAAGTAATACATGCTCCAATGCAAATGGCTGGCTAGTGGCTGAATCCATTTTCAACTAAAAAATACACAAAGTGCCATCCATAGCCAAGAATACAGACACAGCCTTTTCTGTGTCAAACCACATGTACCAGTACAGGGTGTGCATGTACATACATACATGTACATGTATGTACATATATGTACATTTGTACATGTACTTCTGTTCGTGTAGGATTTATCCCCGATGTGACAAATCAGAACCGATTGAGGAATTTTACATGTACATGTATATTTCCCACCTAGTCCCCCCCCATCACAGACACTTTTTCAAATGATCCCCCTTTCATTTCAGCCCTACCACATCTAAGTGCAACATGTTGGCTGTGGTAGGTGGAATTAAAATGCACTGACAAAAATTATTTGTGCATAAGAAATTTTTCACCCTTTAATGCTTGAACCATCACTGATAAATGTAGTGATATACTTGTAAAAAATGATAGGAGGTAGTTTATAGGTTTTGCAAGTTAGAAGGCTTGATGATGATGGTTTTGTCCAAGCTTTTCTTGCCCTGCAGAAGCATGTGTAGTTTTAAGAACTGTTTGTATTAATTGGGGTTTCTCAACAACATGCTCTCTGAGCATCTTAAGAACATTTCTGTCAAACACCCTATGAAGAAAACAGAAATGACCATCAGGATTCTCAATGGATACCTCCTGCTCAGCTGTTCATCTCAAAACCACTGCCTTAAAAGGGATATCCATGTGTGTACAGTGCTACCGCAGAACATCCATCCCGCAGATGATGGGCACAGATTTTTATTTTTTAAGTTTTAGTGCAATTTGCTGTTAAATTCTTGCTTGAGAAATTATAGTTTGGCTTGATTATTTTTTTGTACAAAAAAACCCTGCTGAATCAAACACTTATGCATTTTAAACTCTTTTTGTAACAAAAATTGTGAAGAGTGATTTTCATTCTCATTGTGTAGAAACTGTCATATTTTTGGAAAGAGACTGGAGATTTGTTAGACAAAGCTAGAGTCAAGCTGTTGTTGATGTATTTTTTTGTTATAAAAAAGCATATAATCTCACAGATATAGTTTTTAGGCAATGTACAACACACACTTTATCAGTTTCTGGACATAATGCTTCTTTGCAGAAATCGGAATGAAAATCCTGTGTTACGGTTCCAGTTTGATCAGCTTGGAACCTTTCTCCTGCACAGAGATAACAACATAACTGTTAAAGAAATAAGGCATTTTATGTTAGTGTGGAGAGTGATTTGCTTTTAAAAACACTACATGTGTGTGTAATAAGCTCCAGAAAAAGACATTTGGTTTGTAACTGGCTTGGACCATAGGTGTTTGCATAGCTTTACAAGATGAAACATCAAGTTTACACCCGCATGTATGGTTTTCATCCAAATCACATCGCTCCTCTGACTTTGACACAAGGCATATCCACAGTCATTTCCTACTTGTAATTTGTAACTACATGTATAAAAGAAAAATGCACAGGTTGTGTATAAGATCTAGCACTAGGAATTCAGTGTATCTGGAATGCTTGAATGAAAACGGAAAGTATATTGTAGGATAGAAAAAACTATGTTCAGTTTGAGTCGAATGTAAACAAATCATGCAGCTTGAAAAAATCATTAGGAAGGTGGTAAACTCAAATTATAAAAAAAATAAATAAGTTGAATTTGATTATGAATTTGAGTACTCATGGTTGATCTTTCTTGAGTACTTAAAATATAAATTTAATTTTGACCTGTCTCTCAAGTTTATTTGACAAATTTACATGTATTATCTACAGAGTTGCACAGGTTCTCACAGGTTGTCACTCTTCTGAACTCATTCCCACAAGCCCAGTGAAGGTAATATCTGTAATATACTGTTGACATGTTGTATCACCAATTATTGCTGTTGATTGCTCTTTTGATATTGGAAGTAAGGATTGGTCAAAGTGTTAGTTTGTAAGACTTTTTGATGACCACAATTACAAATGCCAGTTACTTCAGTGCAGATAAGGTTTAGGCCATAATTGGATCAATTTATGAAACTTATTGCATACATCTAAATAACATTCTTAGTTATGGCTCCATTATGTTGAATACTATTTTGTATCATTGTTATGAAAATACATATTTACTTGCACCGGTGAGTATAGCATTATTGTGGCACATTAACACCCCAATGTTGTTGAGATACAGTTAACAGAAATATGATAAACTTGTGTTATTTATATTTATATACATGTACAAAGTGCAAAGAAGTACAACTTCTTTAGTAGATTTTGTTAATTTGTGACCTGCTCTAGAAAAATGGGTAATAAGTCGCCAGATTCAGGCTAGGAGTTTTTGATATGGTCGGATTCTGTACATCACAAGCTACAATTTGATATATGAATGACCCCTGTAGTGCACGGTATTCTAGAGATATATGGACATTTGTATATCCACAGTTTCGGATTCAATAAAAGCACTTTTTGAGAAAAAGCTCAGAAAGTGTAGCACTTGGAAACACAGTGCTATGCAGGATTTCCTACTGAATGATCAATTTTTCACCTTTATTCATCAGTATCCATGTTTGTAGTCAAATTTCTTCAAAATCACGTTTTGAAGAAATTTTGCCCTCTCCAAATAGAACAGGCTATAACATGTTTTGGGATTGCGTGACTTATTACCCTTTTTTGCAGAGCGTGTCACATTTGTGCATTCTACATTTGAGACTAAGGTCATAGGACTACTGCCATGATTTAGGAATCATCCACTTAACATTGTCTGTGCTTCAGGGTACCAGGCTCTGCCTGTTGTGTGATGTCTGTTAAGTTAGTTAATTAGCTTCACGTCAAAAGCTATGAATTGAAAATTTTCCAAAAATGATTTATATTGTTGCCTGTTGAATTTGCCATTATACATGTAGTGAGATTTATTGCAGAGACAGATTAATTTTTTTCCACTCCTGTGTGAGATGAGTAAACTGTGTTATGGTTTTAGTGTTTTTTCTCATGGATTTGCATGCTTGCGCATTGTAAGTCCACTCATCACATTATGCCCCAACCCAAGGCCTGGTATTTTGATGGAATCTGTGGGACAGCTTTAAAGTGAGCTCCATGAGCTATTATGGGTTTTGATGGATTTGGTGCCCTTACCCGTTCCTATGAAAGTACCTAAAACGAGAGGTGAAAATTTATCTGCACACTATTCCCTTGCCCCATTCTGTGCTCCTTTTTTAAAAATCAAAATAAGCCAGACGTTATTCTTTGGTTGCAGAAGTGCATTTCATCCTGTTCTTATTGGCAGCTGATTTATGACGTGCTTTTCTGAGAAAAGCTGTTTGGAATTGATAAAAATGGTTTAAGATAACCATAAAGATTGAAAGGGGTGCCTGGAATTTTTGATGGGGGTATTCAGTGTCTAGGTAATTATCGCAGTCCTAAAGCCAGACTATTGCATTGGTTCTTTGGTCTTGATACTCCAATTGTAAACATGCTATTGGATTTCATGAGTGTGAAGTTGAGTTGGGTTTTGGATAATTTATTAAAGGGTAACAGAAGTAGAAAACATTGAGTTCATGTAAAGTCTTTTAGAATTACAATAAATTTGTAACCATTTCAAAAACATCGCAAACACTGTCTCAGTTCAAGGCAGAAATTAAAGCCACAGTCCTACCGTGTATTTCTTGAACTGAGAAGTGTTTGCCTGTGCGCCAAGCTACATCAAACACAACACGGTCTATTGCAAGTGAGATACTGCATGTGCTGTGCACAATGACTGTACATGTCAGCATTGTGGTGATGACGTCATCAATCAACCTGGGAGCACAAACGGCCAAAAGGGGATTTTTTTTGTGGATGGGGAAATGCAGGATCTTTTTATTCATTTTGGGGTCACAATTAATGGGGTGAACATTAAATTTACTATATTTTTGAAATGGTTTTTTATTTTTTATTTTTAAATACTTAATGTGAACTAAATGTTTTCAATTTGTTACCCTTAAAGCTGAGACTCGTTAATAAAATGCAGTATTTACACTCCATTTTTACAGTATTTACAGTCAAAGTTGAATAGTCAATTGTGAATTCTGACAAATTTCAGCCATAAATCTGATTGATGAATTCTACCTACTATTTTCAAGTTGTAGCGATGAAAGTTATAACTTGGAATTTTGCTGAATTTAATAAAATATTTCCTATTCTGCCGAGTTACGAATATTTCTGATTTTGGTAGCAAGGCTTAACAGTAATTTGTATCCAGATGATTACCACCAAAGAAACACTTGATAGAACTCCTGTGGTTTATCCTTTCATTTTATGGATAGTAATTTAACATCTTTTTGTACTTGTATACTCATGTATACTTGAAATAAAAATTTTGAACTGTGGTATGACGTGTAGAATATGACATTCTGAAATGTTTTCAACTTGTTAGAAAAGTGTCTTCTCAAGAACCCTGGTCAAATCTCATCCAAAGTGCTAACCATTTCCCCAACTGTAAAATTTTGAGATACTTCATTCCAAAGCACTGTAAGTGATGACTCTGACAAGTAATGTCCACACAGGAAAACAAATTGGTCAAAATGTAATTAAAATCTACACTTTATGAGCTTATGTACTTAAGACAGGGACATTGTGATTCACAATACATGTCATAGTTACTATACACAGGCATGGTATGAGCAGAAAATTTCTTCACTAAAACATTGTTAAACTTGCATTGAAATTATTAAAAGGGGGCCATTATTGTCAATACTGAACTCTAAATACGGCAAAATTACCTATTCCTGTTTCACTGAGCTGCTCAGCCTCAGGTAAAGTTATACAATTGCTGAAACTCTTTCAAGCTGAGTTTTGTTTTCACACTTTTTATCCATATTGACTTATAATTACAAATAAAGTCAACTAAATAGCATGCTGTAATGACAGAATTAAGTAAGGGGTTGAATCACATAATTTTAGATAGGGGTTGAATCACATAATTTTAGAAAGGTTATGTTTAACTTGAAAAGGTGTAAAATATCAGTGGCAACAGACTGTTGGACACCCATTGTGTTTTTGTGGTCCCCTGAGACCCTTTGGCAATGACATCAGCTTTGAGGATACCTCCAGCTAGGGACCAGTGATGAGGACACCAAATTCCTAAGGTCTTAAATGGAAAATGACTTTTCCCTATAATCTACAACCCAGATAGTTTGCCATGGGTTACAATGAACCACAGAAAGGTGAAAGCTAATATTTCAACGGAACAAAAATCAATCTTGCAATCTTGCACCAACAATTTACAACATACACATAGTTTCATGATGTCTAATGTAGTACTTGAATACTGTATGGTATTGAACTTGGTAATATTGAAATACTGAAAGACAACAGAGCTACGATCATTGGGATTAACTTGCAGTTATGGGATTAACTTGCAGTTGGAAAATTAACTTGCAGTTGGAAAATTATAAAATGTTAAAGTAGTTTACACAAGGGACAGTATGCTCACTATGTCACAGTGTCAACAAAAATCTAAAATTCACACTCTGCAACATTCCTATTTTTATTTTAACTGGGATTTGTTTAAAGTTCACAACTTTCCATTTTCTAATACTGGCTAACTAGTCATTAATGGAGTCAGTAGGCTAAAAAGTTTCAAAATGTTTGAAGTTGTTTTCCCAAGTTTGTCTCAATATTGCTCATGTCTGGCCCTGTGCAGTACTGTCTCCGTTCAAAGACCCACAAAGTCCAAGGAACAAGTTTGCTTAGCACATAAAATGCTTGCTAAAAACAGGTAACCAACCCAATGTACTTTTCTGACTGGTTCCCTAAACGAATTAGCAGCATGCAGCTTCAGATTTTCTTCACACTGGATAAACCTTTCCACTCATTCAAATGGACACACCGTCCTACACCTCACAACCAAAAAATGACAAGAAAAAGTGATTGCACATCATACAATATCAATCTGCAAAGATGTTACTACCAGTTTGCTTAAACTGGGTGCCAAACCGTATTGGAAGATCACATTGAGACTCTTCAGTGGTAGTATGAAAGTTATTATTAAACCTTTATCTCGGCAGATGACAGGGGCTGCACTTATTAGTGTCAGAGGTGAATGACCTAGTGTAGTTTAATCTTGGACCAGTATGGCACTCGCCTAAACCTCTTCCCAATTTTACATGAAAATAAGATTAAGATCAGCCACTGTAGTTTCCATGCAATGACTTCAATTTCAAACTTTCCAAGTTGTTCACATAAATATCCTACACCATATCCCTTGAAGAAATAACTACGCCCTCCTATTACTCTTTTGCCATACAATAGTTCTTACGCCAAGTCATATTTCCAAGAACAGTCAGACTTATCCTGTTTTAAGTGTCTAAAACAACACCTGCAAGTTTGTTTTTGGCTAGGACTGACACACTATAAAAGAAAGTAAGGAATTTTAAATTAAATACCCCAAAATATCTTTAAAAAGATAAATATCCCGACATATTTTACAAAAAAACGTCTGAAACATTTGACAATTAACTTACCCAAGCTAAAAAGTTAATAAAAATTCTACCAAGCAAAAATGTATAGTGACTAGTAAGATTTCCTGTTGGATTACAATAACTGAGCCCTGAAGAATGTAAGTGAATGGCAGAAAATACGAAAGTACCAATTCGTTATGTGCTTGGAAGAGGGACGTAAGCACTTATGCCCTTTTGCTAGGAAGCATGATCACTGCAAAACATTTTCCTGGCAAAAGGACGCAAGTATGCAACTGTTTTATTTTGATGAAATATGAAGATTTCTTTGCAAAAAGTTAGTAAATTAATTTCCAAAGTCATTGAATTAAGTTGTTCAAAGGTTGCTTTTTGTACAGCTCGTGTTGATTTTTTGGTAATTTTTATCCATTTTTACTAAATAGAGAGAATGTGTTTCTTATGCCCTTTTGCGGGGGAAATTTTTTCTGCTGTGATCATGCTTCCCGGAAGAAGGGCGTAAGCGCGCTTACAACCTTTTGCCGGGCACACGACGAATTGTGCATTGTTGAGGTCCAGTAATGGGAACAAACTGACCATCCTGTAGCAGTAATCAACACACAATGTGTTATCATGTCCACTGGATATCAAGATGGGAAAGAATAGCCAGCCATCAGCACAATTCTGACATTTTATAAACAACTTTTCTTCAGCAAAGTTCAATTAAAATACGGAACAAGGTGGAATTTCTGTTTAGTGGCCAAGTAGATGGTGACGGGACAAAGAGCTCTTGCCATAAAATGCAAACGCCTACTTGGGTACATCTAGACAAATCACTACTTATTAAAATTGATAAGAATAATGTCAGGCATAAATATAGTGCATCTGTGTAGACTCACTTCAAGCAGAAGATAAAACTTTATGGTGAATGGGGAACACAACATTATCTTAAAAAATTAACCTGCCATACTTAAAATTTCACATGTTTAACGATGACTGAAGTCAAGTTCAAATGTTTTCACCTCTCGCTGATGTACCTTGCTAAAGGAATGTATTAAGTACACTCACACCAAACGTGCACGAACAAAAATCACTTCAAATTTATCAAAACAGCACCAGCTAAAAGAAAAACCAACATATAGAGGTCACACTTCTGTCATAACTACCAGGCAACACTAAAGCACACACAGTTTTATGCAGGCCTTCACAAAAAATCTTCATGATACCACAGAGCCAATACCTTCTGCAAAGACTGTAAACAGGCGGACAGAACAAACTCGCCATCTTGAAAGAGACTGCTTTGGAAGAACGAGACCCAGTCTTTGTCCATCACATGCAGGAACAACTACTGACCAGCTGTGCAGTATCACGTTGATTATTCTGTTTGGCCAAAGCACAACATCCCTGATTCATAATAATATCCTAACAGTCCTCCACTCTTCAACTTTCTGTAGGATTGGGGACTGCTGGGGTTAATCACTCATAGCTACACTGTGAATTGGAACCAACATCAAGTAAACGGGATCTAAGAAGCCTTCCTCAAACTCAGCTCTCCTCACTGTCAGGATCAACTCAAAGTCCCCAACTCGGAAACTGTATGTTATCAGACAAGACGGAGATGTTTTAGTTTAGTTGACACATGACAGGCGTACAGATGGTTCTGGAGCCTTCTACATAACCTAAGGCAGAGACAAAGTCAAGGAGTGAGAAAGTACTATTGATATTTACCCTTGTTATTCTGAGTGGCAGAATTCTGGTGAATTAGAACTCGGAATGTTCAGCATATATCATTGACATATTTGGGTCAGGAAGTTACTGGCTCTAGTATCACTGCTTGTCCTTGGCAATCTAGCTTAATAACATAAATCCCTCATAGCATTTTCCCAAGGCATAGTACTGAGTCCCCTTTTAATATCTGCAAGAAATCAACGGCACACTCTTCAATGACAGTAAACCTGATGTAAAGACATAATGCTTGGACACCAACACACAAAGCTATTTCTTTTTCGCCTATGTGTCCTTCTAACTAACTGTAGGCATACTACACGTGATAACAGAATTTAAACACACATTCTCAATAACCAAGTTGAAAATAAATTAGTTTTGCGTAATGCATGCTGGGAAGATCACAATTGGGGCAGAAGTATGTATGGTGCTGGTGGAGTCTTATGTGGCTGCAGTGGAGACTAACTTTAGTGGTAGTTATGGTGACATCATGCAGAGTGGTCTAGTGATGTTTGCACATCACAACAGACATGCATTGTGTAAAGGGGATAAAGCTGATAAGGTTAGTCTCTAATTCAGTCTGGTTGGCCTAACATCATCCACTCTGTATTGCTCAGTGACTGTCACCCTCTATCATCCCTAGCATCTGACGTCTGACACCCTCTCAGTTGACATCTCACAGGTCTAGCGAACTCTATCAGCCCATGTTGTCCAACACGGTCTGAGCCAATTGCTGTATCTGAAGTGGAAGAGACGGTCGCTGCTGCATGCCCTCAAGGAATCGTGGGATTGCACTCTCCCCGAAGGCGGTGCGGAATGTGGCGTCTATCAGCAAACATAAAGAAGTTAACATGCTGGTACAACGCGGTACACTTCAATAACAATTCTGCCTGTCAAACAATTATAAGTAGGCCATTGCTTGCTTCATTCCAAGTTCTACAACTGGGCTACGACTGGATAATTTTTCCCTCTAAAGTGAGAGTCCAAACAGCCAATCAATACCAGACAGCCCAAACAATACCTGTAGCAGAATGGTAATGGAACAAGCAAATCAAGTCAAATTATATCTTTCCCTATGTCCTGTTCGACTCAACAGGACACCACATCGAGAAGCATTTTTCCTAATATTGATTTTTCACTTATTCCTTAAAATCATACATCTTCTGAATGTTTGTAGTTTTTCATGTCTACATTTTAGCTGTACAGTTGAACCTCGTTAATAAGAGGTCCTTTGGACTTGGCAAATTACCTTGTTATAACAGGAACCTTCAAGTTATACACGTATTATCAGAAAGAAAACAATGAAGAACAAAGGATTGGGACCTAAAAAACTCCTTGTGATAAGCAAAATCTTGTATGAACAGTGCTCTTATTAAGGAGGTTTAACTGTACATGTGTACACAAAGAAACTTTTTCCCATCTCTGTAAAGCACTCATAACCTGAACCACATGCTGTCGGGTTTTTTAAAAAATGCAGTGCACGCATACAGGCGATTTTCAAGATTTTCAGTTTTCAAAATTCTTCAAAAATTCATCATTTCATTTAATGGACGTTTACAACCAAATGAATGACTCTTTTATGGCTACTCTAAGCTGACAAGTAACCTTCATTGACTCCTGAATATTTCAGCCAGGCCTGCTGCCCTGTAAAAAAAGCCCAGAATTGTGAGGTGTTGGGTAATTTCCTTTGTCCCCAGTGAATGCGAGTGGTGTCTTTTCAAACAAGGCTGGATTAGCATGCAGCGGCGCTGTGTCGCTCATCAATGGGGCCCTGTCACTGTTGTCCACGGTGCTAATCTGTGGGTGCACTATGCCCAAAACAGTGGTATACTAGGTCTTTTGTTAAAATTTCAGGCACCCCTGCTCTGCATATAAACCCATGGTGCTCAAAACGGGGTTCCCCGGCAGCAAGTGGCCAATACTGTGTTCTGTGAAGTGACCATGCATGCGGGAATGTATGACATGGACTCAGCATATGATAGTTGGTCAGGCCCTTTGTGATTTTTGTTCCTACCTTTAAGAAGCTGCAGGCTGGTCCAGAGACCGATGTGAATGAAGCTAGGGTCAGGGTGCTTGACAAAACGCTCAATGTATCTCAGAAGACCTAAGATATTGGCTGTGATCAGCTCAGGCTTCAGATCTGTGTGATTGAATGATGTATGTAGGGTCTATCA